CCAAACCAAACAAAATGATTAGTAATCATTAAGGAGCAAGGTGTATTCGAGCGCAACGAGTTTTCGGGGACCCACAAGCAGACCTCGTAGACATCAACATGATTCAATGATAATTAGATATTTTGGTATCACCAGAGGAGGACGGCGGAAGAAAGTGTGTAACACAAATAGCTGAGTTCAACTATTATATAATAGCCGACACTCCTTCAATCTGGACCAACTATTCGCCAACAACACAAAGCCATACATCGAAGTCTTAACATCAAGATGCCTATGCGTCCAGCACCCCGCAGCCCTCGACGCACTCGTCGCGACGGCAAAGCAACCTAGAGATCCTTGTCAGATTTCGAGCAGACCCACAAAGGAGGCACAGCTTCTTCGCGCCAGACAGTAGCATCGCGTCGAAGAGATGAACAACGGCGATATGAACAGACAGACTAAGACATGCGCCAGGCAGCAAGCAGGCAACATCAGTTGGGGCACGGGTCTCGCTTATCAGCAAGAGGGAGAGCAGATCCAGAAGACAGTGAGGTGCAATTTGTGATTAGGCATACTAGTCGTTCAAAGTCTGCTGAGCCAGCAGCTGAGCGACACAGGGTAGCCAACGTCCGAGGTACCTCGGGCATTCATTCAGCGGGTGATAGACCTCATTCATGGCAGTCTTTTCACCGAGCACCTGATCGAGATTTTAGTCGAAAGCGAACTCGATCGGGGAGTTTCACCAGTGCAAGTCAGGATTCCATCGCAGGCAACGGGGATGAGCAACCAGTCCAACGGCATAGCAATATGTCAGGGTGGGCCACGGGCACTCGTCAGCAAAAATCTGACGAAATCAGGGGCCGACAGCATGGGGATTATCGTAGGGAAGCCGAACGAGAACAATTACATAGACGATGGGAACTCAGCGGACAGCACCGAGACTTCGCGCGATCGATGCAGGATATGCGCAAGGCTAGTTACGTCGACGACGGTAATATTCATGGCAGCAGAAAACGACCACACAAAGACGAACAGGCTAGAGAGCCGATCATGACACCAGCGCAGTGGAACGAGCATCGCCGAGCCATGCGTCAACGCCTCGAAGGGCAGCAACCAGACGAATTCGAACATGGTGATTTGGAAGAGGATGCAACGTGGAAAACCATAGGCAGCGATCAGGAATAGGACGTAAGGGTGTCGGATGCAGATGCAACTTCTTCAAAAATAAATGACCTCTTAAACTGTTGAAAATTAAACAAATAAAACTAGTTGTGTAAATTAAACAAATTATATATATAAAAACTAGTGAAAATCCTTCTGCTGAGTAAGTTCGTGCCTTGGAAACTGGTCTTTTGAACCATCCCGGCTGTGCTGGTATATTTTCACCCCCCAAAAACTAGGGTATCCGCTGGAGTTATAGTCGCCTATAAGCTCGAGTTGTGGAATCATCGTTCGCCTCTACACCGTGGTGAAATCTCACGAGGAGAGACAAACTCCGATCAAGCACTTAATGGTGCTGTCTTGTGTCGCCGAGATATTCGGAGGTTCTGGCACAGCATAATAAGTGGTAGTCGGACATCCCATGCCGTAGGTAAAGATTCACATAGCTTGCGAACTCCTTCGTGTATGTCTCTGTGTCTTCTCTCCGCTGCTCCCACAACCTGAGGACGATATGGTGGCGACTTCGCATGCATCACTCCAACAAAAATACTAGATGTCTATCATCTACTTCCGGATCGGAGTTTGTCTCTCCTCGTGAGATTTCACCACGGTGTAGAGGCGAACGATGATTCCACAACTCGAGCTTATAGGCGACTATAACTCCAGCGGATACCCTAGTTTTTGGGGGGTGAAAATATACCAGCACAGCCGGGATGGTTCAAAAGACCAGTTTCCAAGGCACGAACTTACTCAGCAGAAGGATTTTCACTAGTTTTTATATATATAATTTGTTTAATTTACAGAACTAGTTTTATTTGTTTAATTTTCAACAGTTTAAGAGGTCATTTATTTTTGAAGTCCCCTCCGAGCGCCCACACCTGGCGAGGTAGTGATAGGGAACAGGAGCGTCAGAATGACGGTGGCAGGGTTCTACACCAACAAGGACAGACTCGACCTCGTCAGAAACGACGCCCTTACCGTCAGATCCGTCAACACGTGAGCAATGCACAATCCAAGACGGATCAGCTACTGCAGAAACAGCAAGAATTGCTGGAGAAATATGAGCAGCAGCTGCAACACCTTCAGCGGCAGACAGAGAGACCTCGAGGAGGTCCGACCACTATTTCTCCAAATCAGGGCCAGGAGGAGAGTATTAGTTCCAGTCAGCCGCCGGAGCCAGTTGGGGAGAATGAACGTTTAGAGTTCAGGATTCCAGGCAGTGCGGCTAGATACGGAGTCGGATACCAAGCCCCAGCCCAAGGAATTGGACCTCACGACTCAGATACACCTCGGGCAGCGATCTCCCTACAAGGTTTTGTACATGCGCAGCAATGAGCAGCACAAGACCCTCATGGGCCGGAGGCGCTGGACAACCGTCGTGATCGACTATCCAAGAAGGTTCATTCTCAGCAACAGAATCGACGATTCGAGGCGGAGGCACTACGAGACTCTATATCCGAACACACGGGTTATCGACCCCTACGATACAGGTATCCCCACCAACGGCTGGTGACAAGGTGACCCCTCCGACACCGGAGAGTATTGCGGCGGATCGCCAAGCGCTTCATGTGCGGATGCTCCTACTGTCGGAAGAATTGTGCAGAGCGGTTGAGGCAGATGATCTTCCACGTGCCGAGGCGCTGCGAGGGGTGTTAGAAACCCTACGAGCCACACATGACTCGCGCCCCGTAACCAAGCACGAACCACGAGAACCGGGAAGCTGGCCTGAATGGCCGGCGAACCGATACCAACTACACAATGTATTAGAGAGAGATACTAAAGGAGCCCTGTTGGAGGCGCTAAAGAACGCGCAGATCTCGGGCCTAGACACTGCGTGGAGTTTGCGGTGGTTTTATAAGGTTCTGAGCCACTTCAAGGCTGAGCAGTCTACTTTAGATTACTTCAAGTCCAACCACCAACGTTTGGTCAATTGGACTCCAGAGTTGCAGATAACACAGATCTGCTCTCACGAAACTCAAGCGACAGTCGGCCCCACATTCCGGAAGTTGGCGAAGGGACACTCTCGGGTATCAAATGTACCTATTATGGAACAAATGACACAATTAATGGAGAATCACAGACATGTCCACGAACGTAGCCAGACGGATGCGGAATTCAAGCAAAGCCTTTTGCACCACTGCATTGTGTAGTTGTTGGAAGACTCTCTTGGGTCTCGTACAAATGAGCGAACGCTACAACTGCACACCAAATGGCACTTGATAGAGACTCACGAATTGTTGCAGCTTCTCAGTCAGTCCTGATATTCAAGAAGTACAGACAAGAAATACGGTGTGGATATCGAACCGACGACCACGTACCAACAAACATTAACGGGGGGATGGGACGGTAACACGTACACCGCATATGACCACTCCACGAGGGACACAACAGTGGCAACAGCGCACGCCACCGTCGAATGCAACAACATGTGGCGGGTGCCAGGCACAAGCACCACCCAGGGTTGAGGCACATTCCTCGCTGTCATAACTATAGGGCAGCGACCCAGGACAACCATGGCCGCACGTCAGAGACACGTCAACGTGGCCCGAGACCGCATAGTGCAGCAACACCTTCCACAACGATAACACCATTGGTTACACCGGTACGGAGCGCGGAAGGCGACAATACAACGCAACCGCAGGTCCATAGTCTCACAGACACGTCGGCGTGGGATACCCCACCTACCGCCACGGATCTACATATTGGAGCGCTGCTTTCTGGTGATATGGGGGAGAATGATCCGATAGGAGACGATAAGATATCCCCAGAATGGTCTTCCATATCAGATCAACCTTGAGATATCAGGGTGTCGGACGATGATATAGCTTTGCGTATACAGGATACTCAGGTACAAGCAATAAAAGACCCACTGTTAATAGCAGATCAACGGGTGTATGTTCAAGTTCAGTTGAATGGTCGCATATTCTGAGCCCTGGTAGATTCAGGCGCAAATAGAAGTTGTATTTCGCAGGCATCCGCAGAGGCGTTAGGTCTTCCGATATCTCCGGCTCCTCCTGATTCATACATTTATTTGGCGGATCAAGCGGCGCGTACTCGGCGACTGGGGACGACGCAGAGCATCCCAATTAGATATGGAACGGCTATAACTAACGGTTCCTTGGAGCTCATAAATCTACCGGTAGGCATCGATGTGATCATCGGGGTACATATTATGCCGGGCTTAGGTTTATACTTAGGAGGACTACAATCTTCGTTAGCACTTATAGATCCGACAGAGTTGGACAACTTACTGAAGCCGATCACTAGACGGCAAGCCCCAGATTTAACCGAGCCTGACGGCATCCGGGAGGATCTGAAATCAGTATTAGAGGCGAATGCAGCGATTACAGATAGCGCACGATGCCGATTGGAAGGAAGTGAGGTGGTCATACCGGTCACTAGAGACCAAGCAATGAACATGCGTCGTTCAACTAGGAACTTTGCCATACGTGGAAGAAGAGGTGCAGAAGTGGCTACGAGATTTAGTCATTATCAAGCGAACTATTCCAACTACAGTGAACCTACCACTATTAGCGATACCGACCTTTGATAGCGAGGGGAATGTCAAGAAGGTACGAGTTTGCCTCGATATGCGAGCAGTCAATGCTCTGATCCCTGGCGACCAATTCCTGATCCTCAAGGTGAACGAGACCATATCGCGGTTACAGAGCAAGAAGTATTATACAACATTGGATATCTCAGCAGCGTATCATCGTTTGCCGATTCACCCAGATTCTCAGTACTTGTTTAGCTTCACCCATGGGCGCCACCAATATTCATTTACATCGGCGTCATTCGGTCCGGACGTTGAGCACAATCTTGGATGGCCTCCCCGTACACCATTACATCGACGATATAGTGATAGCGGGTGACGACTATGAAGAGCAGAAGGCAACGGTTACAGAGGTGATTCGCCGTCTTACATATCATAGCTTCAAGTTGAATTCTGATAAATGTCACTTGCGATCAGGGAGGTAATGATTCTCGGAAAGAAGGTGTCAGCAGCAGGCATTGATATTGATTTCGTAAAGCAGGTGAAGCTGCTGGATTGGCCAACCCCGCAGCGTTACAAGGATATAGCATCGGCGTTGGGTCTTGCGAACTTCCTCCACGAACATCTTCCAAATGTTGCGCACATAGTAGCACCACTCCGAGAGTTCTGTAAGCTGAAACCTAACGAGTTGATTGGGACAAGGTGGGAGCCTCGCCACGCAGAGGCGTGGGCGGCTATGAAGACGGCGATTGTTAACGCGGTGGCTCTACACTTCCCAGTGGAGGATATTCCCCCGAACTTGGAGACAGATGCCAGTGACTATGGCATCGGAGGGGCTTTGTTCCAGTGGGTTGAGGGAAAGAAGCAATACATTATGTTCTTCAGTAAGACCCTTAATCAGGCACAACAAAATTACGCCACGCCAATGAAGGAACTCTTGGCGCTTGTATATGGGCTTACACACTTCCTCGAATTCCTCGACGGGCAACGATTCGCAGCATTCACGGACCATATGGCGCTAGTGTATACGAATACACAGTTGAAGTTGAATCCGATGCTACAACGCTGGCACCACATTATAGCCCCGTTTAACTTCACTATATCACACATTCCGGGAGATAAGAATGTTCTCCGTGATATGTTGAGTAGGGTCCACGAGGGGACAGCGGAAGGCGATAAACCAGAAGTGATGTATGCCGATTGTTGGCAACTGTTCCCAAACTACTTCACACAAGCCCAGCAGATCTTCGGCCCAAACGGTATGGATGTGTTCGCGACGCCGGGGATGCGCAACTTCCTCGGTTTTGGACACACGACGAGCGGGGGGGGGGGG